AACATCTCTAAACCCTGCTCTATACTATACCAATCTTATTGTTTTTGACACACCATTTACCCCAGTCACTGAATCAATCCATCTCATCAAGGGCCTTCCTCTCTTCTGCTGTCCTTCCACCCTCTCAAGCATGACATCCCTTTCCAAGGACTGGTCCCGCCTAGAAACATGTCCAAAATATGTCAGACAAAGCTTCAGAATCCTTGTCTTCAAGGAGTAACCTGGTCTCATCCTCTCTAGGATGAACTTGTTTGTTCTCCTAGCAGTATATAGTATATTTAATACTCTTCTCCAGCACCACAACTCAAAGGCATCAATTCTCCTTCTATCATCCCTAGTCATTGTCCAACTTTCTGATGCATAGCAAGTAATTGTAAAGACTAAGGCCTGTATCAGGAGCACCTTAGTCTCCAGGCTGACATCGTTGCTCTTCAGTACTTTGGAGATGTCTCTGATGGTAGACTTTCCCAATGCAATTTGTCTTTTTATTTCCTGGCTGCTGATACCTAGGGTGCTGATTGTGGAGCCAAGCAAACTAAAGCTGTTAACAATCTCAATTTCTTCATCCTCTATCATGATGCTGCCAATTGTCCCAGTGGTGAGAATCTTTGTTTTCTTGATGCTGAGCTTCAATCTATATTGAAGGCTGCAGGCCTTGACTTTCTGCAGCAAGCACTTCAGGTCCTTCTCAGTTTTCATACAGTACTGAGTAGAAAATTAAGTTTCAATAGTTTTGTTTTCCTCATTTATATGTGGAATTAGATTTACTTCCTTGGTTCAGGAAGTGGGCTGGAGCCCTGATTATTGTTGTTGTCAAGTGGACTGTTGCTCATAGCAACCTTCTTAACAACAAATCTGAACCTTGCCCTATCCACCATCATCCCCAATATCACTGTCATGCTAACGCCCGTTATGGTAATCACTGAGTCAGTCAATCTCTTAGTCAGATCCCATGCTTGCAACAGGAGTGGGAAGAGAAGACCCTCGATAAAATGAGGTGTGATTAACGCAGCTTTTCTCACAGAGTTCCCTCTTCCGCAGTTTTCATATACTGTTAAAAATCGGTTCATTTACTTCATAAGATTTCCTGCTTGTGTTGCCTTCCTCATATTTTTCTGGATATTATCTCTTCTTATTTCTGTTATTCTTGGTCAAGTTTTTATTCCATTCCCAATGGAGTGGAATCTTGTCCTAGAAGAGAGCCTTGGTTCATAACTTTTATTGTAGTAGGTCACACTACTACCCATTTCAAGAGCTATTCCAGTATTGTACCCTGTGCTTTCCAGTGAATACTTGTTACTATTTTTGTTGATGTTAGGTGTTATTGTGTTAAATATGACCCCTCATGACCCTACATGAACAGCCAGCCTCAACCCTTCCCTATCCTGTGCCATCCTCCTCATCTCTGACACACTAAAGCCTATTGTTGAAGTCATCATGCCATCCCAATTTGCTGGGGTCTTCCTCTCCTTCACTGACCTCCCATTCTTCCAAACTTAATGCCCTTTTCCAAGGAATAACCTCACCTGGTTACATGTCCAAAGTATAAAAGATAAAGTTTCGTCATCTTGGCCTCAAAAGAAGAACTCTGGCTGTACTTTTCCCAAGACATATCTTTTTGGTTCTCTTGGCAGTCCATGGGGTACTCAGTATTCCTCTCCAGCACCACAGCTCAGATACATTAGTTTATCTTCCATCATCCTTAATCATCGTCCAGTTCTCAGATGTGTAGCAGGTGATTGTTACTATTTCGGAGTTCTCTTATTCTTAGAAGCATTAAATGAGCTGTTGCCTCTCTCCCCATACATATGCTGACACTGTGCTGGTTTTGTGATTTGCTCTTACTCACTTGTATTTTAGGGTCAAAGTGTATGCTTTGTAATCTAATTTTGTTCCAAAGGCTCTTTGTGGGATTTGATTTTTAAAATATATTTCTCTTTTTTATGTGGAGATTTAGAAAATCTGAAAATGTTTTCACCATTACAGCTGTGTTTTAGGGAACTCTAGTGGATGAGCAATCTCCTGCCGGGAGATTAACTGCCTCTGAATACCTGCTAGTGGTTCAGCTATGGGTCACTTTTGACTTGGTGGTACACAACAGTAACAACAACATTGGCCTAATAGTAGATGGAGAAAAGATTCAAGTTGTTACTGATTTCATATTGCTTGAATCCACAATCAACACTTTTGGCACCAGCAGCCAGGAAGTTAGAAGAAGAGTTGCACTGGGAAAAATATGCTGTCAATGACCTTTTCAGAGTACTGAAGAGCAACGATGTCAGTCTAGAGGATCAGATGTGGCTGATCCAGGTCATGATCTTTTCAACTGCTTGCTATGCATTTGAGAGCTTGGAAAATGAATTAGAGTCATCGTTGTTGTTGTTAAGTGCCGTTGAGTCACAGGCAACTCACAGCGACCCGATGAAGGAGAGTCCTCAACTCTTGGGTGCCTTTCATCCTCTCTCCAAGTTCATAGGGTTTCCGGAGGCAAGCTAATACAGAGTGGATGACACTCCTCCTTCCAAAAATTAGGGTGATAGAAGAAAAAAAAAAATCTATGTTTTCAACTTATGGTATTGGAGAAGAGTATCAACTCTACCATGAATTGTCAAGAGAACGAAGTGATCTGTCCTAGAGAGGGTGAAAACGGTTTACTCCTTAGAGGCACGCACGGGTTTTGAAGTTCCATCTCACATAATTGAGGGATGTGCTAGGAGGGATCAATTCTTGGAGGACATTCATTATGCTTGGAAAGTTGTTAGTGTTAGCGCAGGAAAGGAAGACCTTGGATAAGATGGATTGCCACAGTGATTGTGATAATAGGGTCAGGTATGTCAGAGATGATGAGATTTGCTCAGAATAGGACAAGCTTCAGAGCTATTGTTCCGAGGGTTGCTATGTGTTATAGCTGACTCAATGGCACAGAACAACAGGGGTTTAGTGAATAAAATAAGGAGTTATGTTGCCAGACTAAAGGCAGGCATTTCAAGTCCACCAGTTGCTCTCCATGTGATTTATAGCCTCTGAAAACTTGCTAGAGTGTCAGCTATGAGTCCGTTCCAACTCGACAGCAAAGAGCAGCTATTTGTCCAGGGACCTCTGGTGGCACAGTGTTTAAAGAATTCTACTGCTAACCAAAAAGTTGATGATTTGTACCCATTAGGTTCTCTATGGGAGAAAGATGTAGCAGTCTGTTTCCAAAAAGATGTGTAGCCTTGGAAAGTCTCAGAGGCTGTGTATGTGTGTTTATTTGGGGAAGTGCTATTCAGCTTCTGACAGTGTTGCTATATACATATATGGGTGTGTCCCTAAAGTCTGATGTTTTGACCTGAAATGCTTTTCACATTTGAATACGGAAGTTTTTCTTTGGTTTGTGGTGTGGGGACTCACTGTTTGTAGGACTAGTCTTTATTTTCTGGTGTATTTTTGTGTCTTGGGATGACACTGCACTGCAACATTGCTAATTATTCTGTGACAAGTTTGTCTGCAACTATTTTCTTCCCTAAAATTCACAGCTATTCTCTGCTGGAAAAGAAATGAAACTTCCAGTTGCTCTTAGGGCATTTTTTCTTTGCTGTCCCACTCACTTCTGTTGACTTTTCAGTAGAGGTCCTGAATAGGTTCAATCTACTTTCTACACTAGGCTGCTTGAACACTTTCATATTATTACTTCGTCAGGTAAGACCCACTGATTCTGAATTTTAATAAAGTAAAATTCTTGGGAAAATAAAAATGGTTACTTTAAATCAAATTTCTATCCATTAGTGAAAGGAAGATTTGCTTATCTTCCTTATTCTTATGCTATTTATTTATAACTGTGTTGAAAACTACAGATTTATGCAACCAAGAGGACCTATTGAGTGGATCGACTGTAATGCAAATTCTACACTTTTTATATTTACAATAGTAAGACTGTACTTCGAAAATAACCCAGGCATATGTATTCAAAAATCTCAAACTCATTGCAGTCAAGCTGCAACTGGCTCATAGTTGATCTGCCAAAGGATTTTAAGAGGTAGAAATTGCCCATCTTTTTGTGGTGGAGCAGCTGGTATATTCAAATCATGAGTGTCTGCCTTTTGGTGAGCAGGGAAACTCTTGTGATGTTGGCTGTAAAATTCCTACAATGACTAGAGAGATATCAAATATAAACAAGGTTTGTTGTGATAAAATGAGTTTGTGGAGAGTGACAGAGTATTGAATTTAAAGTGTTTACAAAGTGTTCTGAAAATAAAATGTGGCTTTGTATTCACTAGAGTATCTATAAAGCCTTGATTCAATATAAAACATGTTCATGTAAAAATTCTATCGAGGCTAACCTATTTATCTGTATGTATGAGAAAGTATTTTAGAGTTACTGAATTATTTTACAACAAAGAATGTTCCCATTTAGACTTAAGAGAACTCAGAGATGTTTAGAAGAATAAATGAATAAACAAGATCTTTTTAGAAAAAATATATACTTTATTTTCAACTAAAAAGGTGCAAACATGTAACTTTTGGTCACACTCTCAACAGATAAAACTGTCCAGAAAACAGTCATAGTCAAAGTAGAAACAAATGCTTCCAGGTGGAAAAATCAATCAGCTAGAAAACCGTTCTTTTAATAAAGGTTATTTTTTCATTAAAAGTGAGGCAAGCATTATTTCTGACCTACAAGTCAGGCTCCCAAGGGCATACTGCCTCACCTTCAGCAAACAATCTGTCTTGATGGACTGTCACTTTAACTGAGTAAAATTTCCATGAGTATCTATTTCATGCTTTGAGTTATCAGACAAGCTTTCTGTCCTACCTATGGTGTTCAGAAATCAAGGCTAACATTTGAAATATCAAAGCATTAACAACAAAAAAACTCAAATGACTTTAAATTAACTTAGATACCTGTACAAATAGATATATACACAGAATATTTACAGTATCAATAAAAAAATTCTGGCTTGTTATAGGCAAGCTAACTTGCCACAAGCTGTCCAGTCTAATAGACAGGATTCTGATTCCTGAACACTGCCATTCAAATCAGAATGTCAACGCTGAATCTGCTGTTTGGACATCAAGAACAGCTTGGTTCAGCCTCTTGATGGCCTGAGCACACACACCATAGCTGCTGCAGGAGCTACAGGCAGGTCATCGAGCAAACTCAAATTTTCCTTCTCAGTTACGGTTCACATAGCAAGCTCCTTACCACTTCCTGATGGTACTGCTTTCTCCTAGCGCCCTCCCACTGTTCCCAAAGCCACACCCTATTACACACTGTGAAGCTGTGGGCTACTATGGTCCCACTGTCAAGTCTTACTTTCTTCAAACCAGTGTCTGGAGTTGATAGACTATTTGTTTGAATGTCACATAGCACAATGTTTGGAGTTTGGTGGGGACTTTTCACCCCCCTAATTAAAAACAGATTTAAATAACTTGTGCTAACTGAAATCATGTTTACACAAAAAAAATGAGATGTGAATCAGTTCAAGTTACAGCCTATTGAGTTAACGTCTCTCCCTCTCCTTGGCTTTATGCCATGTCTCCGTACATCTTCCTGTAGTACAGTGACTCGAAGATGTCATTGTCCCCGGGGCAGTTGTAGTGGCAAGCGCAGGTCTTGATGAACATCATGCTCTTCTTCATGACCTCTCCATCTGGGCACTTGAACTCCACCGGCAGGGTGGTGGTTCTGTGGGGGGTGCAGCATCGCCCATCGGTGCACACGCCGCAGAATTTGGCTCGGTAGGTCTTCACACTGGTGCAGCCAGAGAGCTCAAACTTGACAGGTTTGGAGATTTTCGGGGTACGGATGCACTTTTTGCCCTTCTGAGGAAGACAAAGGAGAAGAGAAATATGAATGACTTTACAAAGGGACTGGCTTTTTTCTTTAACTCTGTTTCTAATCACAGTCTGTCTGATTTCTGTTTATATTTTGAGGAGAGGAAGCTTGAGCCTCACTGGCCAGTTTTCTAAAAATAGATACAGCCTCTCTTGGGATGTCTAAAATTAACTAACACTGTGGAGGATTTTGTAGTGGAATGCTGAATGTTCCTCTTACATTAGTAACAGTCTCATTCCAGAAAAACAGCTCAATGGTTAGATAGCTATGGAGAGAATGGTGGGCCTATAATAGCATGGGGTTAAGAGACCTAAAGGTTGGTTCTAACCACTATGATTCTAGGAGAATTATTGGCTAATAGAAGTGGAACAGGTACCTTAATGCTTTCTTCCAGGTCTGCTTCACAAGGTCTGACCATGCAGAGGCGGCTCTGCTTCTCCAGCCTGCAGAAGGCGTTGTCATTGGTAACCCGGGTGGAGATGCCCATCCCACAGGTCTTGGAACAGGCGCTCCACTCTGTGGTCTGGACCAGGCAGTTGGCTCTCATCATAGTTGGGTCGGGGCCATATGTGTCTTCTAGTCGGTAAGCTGTGAGAACAGAACACATAAACAGCATGAGGACTGAGGACCAGACATTCCTCTTCCCTGAACACAGTTAGGACTCACTTCTGGGGTCACACAGAGGGGAATCACAACACTGACTTAAAAGACAACTCACCAGCAAGGGCAGGGCCAACGACGGTGTGGTCCTTGGGCTCATCGCACACCCACTCCTCGCAGCATTTCCCGGGCAGCTTGACCCTCCGCGGGAAGGGGCAGTCAGGACTGGGCAGGCGGACGTCCATGCCGCACAGGGGCAAGCAGCCCACCGCTCCGTCCACGCACGTGCACTGGTATTTGCAGCTGCTCTGGAAGGACTCCCCGCTACGGTACACGGCCCCTCCGAAGACGCAGGGGGCACCATCTTTAGCTGCAGAAAGGAAAGATGGGATGCAGAGATGAGATGGGTTGGTCCCTTGCTAGGAGCAGGTCGGGGATATGGATTGGGAGAAGCTAAAGAGAGGGACTCCATTTGAAGGTCTATCAGAGTCGAGGGCTGCAAGTCTTACCGGTGCAGACTCCAATCTTGTGGTTGGCGGGGGAGCCGAAGTCGCAGAAGAGGCCCTTGTGCGGGTCGCAGAGGTCGCGCTCGGTGCACAGCTCGCCCAGCTGCTTGGCACAGACGCGGCAGCAGCCGCAGCCGTCGAGCACGAGGCTGACGCCAGCGGGGCAGCTTGGCGGGCCGGCGGCGCACTGGCACTGGCCGCTGCAGTCCTGGCCGGAGGCGGTCTGCGGGGAGAGGCAGCGGTCAGCCGGGCGCCGGGTGCGCAGCGGGCCCTCCCCTCCCCGGCCGCCGCCGCGCCGCGAGGCCGTGCACGCTTACCCAGCTGCAGAGCGCGAGCAGGAGCAGGGGCCCGAGGGCGGAGCGCACGGGGCGCAGGCTGGCGGCGGCGAGCATGGTCGGCGCGCTGGGTGAGGAACGGGTGGCGCGGTGGGGAGGTGTCGCGGGTTCTGGCTGGCTGGACGCGCCGGGCGCTCGCTGGCTCGGTCTTGTCGCGGGGGCTGTCGGCCGGGGCGGCGGGGCTGCCGTCGGGCTGGAGTCAGTGGGTTGGTGGCCGGTGGTTGGAGTTGCACTGGCTGCCTCCTCTCAGCAGGGAAGAGTTGTTGTGTGAGTCTGGGGCGGGCGGCCGTGGCTTTTATACGCTCAGGGCGGCCCCGGCTCGCCAATGAGCTGAATGGAGTCCTACACAAACAGGGACATTCCTCGCATTCCTCCCCACCTTCCTGCCTCATCAACTCACACCGGATTGATCCTGACCCCTTGACACTCCACATTCCTCCCGTCTGAAAAAGCTGGCACACTCCAGTTAGGAAAAAAAAAAAAAAAAAAGGCTCAGTCTTTCCAGCACCAAATAGGACTTTTTTTCATTCCTTTTCGCACCACTCCTGATTTATATCATTTAAAGACATGTCGGCAATTATTATTTTATACGACTCACATCTGTTTCCAAAAGCCGTGCCTGTTCTATTTACTAACAGAAATAAATCCTTTTTAAGAAGTGGGTGGCTGAAGAGTCTAATGCCAGGGCTTCCTAAAATGATGGAAAGGGCTTTCTTTTTTATTAATTTTGTTATAATCTGATTTATAGGGATTTTTATGTCCTGGAAATTCAGCAGAGAGCTGACGAGGAGTTGGTTGGTCTTGAAATCTCTAAGATGCCTACCTGCAGAAGTAGAATTCTATACTAGAAATGTAGGCATTTGACCAGCTGTCACTTGAGACAAGGGTTTCATGGGGAGAGACCCAGCACCCTTGTTTTGTTGTCTCTTTTGGTGTATGTAGTATGTTACATGGGAAGAAATAGGGTTCCAGAAAAATGGGTCTCTTGCTATATTAGAGCACATTTTTATTTTAATGTATTAGGGATCGAGTTGTGTCCCCCACAAAATATGTGTCGTAAATCCTAGCCTCTATACTTGGTTATAATCACATTTGTGAATGGATCGTCTTTCATGAATGAGACGGAATTAAAGTAGGGTGCATCCTGAGTCAGTCTCTTTTGAGATATAAAAGACATTAAAGAATCAAGAGTAAGAAGTTAAGATATGAGATGATAAATGCCAATCATCTACATTAAGTTTTATTTGGAAAAGCCCCCCACTTGTGGAATCTATGTTAAGTGCCATCAAATCCATGACTCATTGTGACAGTAGATCTGAACTTTGTCCTATCCTGCACCATCCTTATCATCCTTGACACATATGAGTCCATTGCCGCAGACCCTGTGTCCATTTCCCTGGGGGTCTTCCTTTTCTTTTCTGACCCTTTACCTTTCCAAGCATGATGTCCTTTTCCAAGAAACAGCTTCTCCTAACAACATATCATGTGAGATGAAGCTTCACCATCTTTGCCTCCAAGGAACATTCTGGCTGCACGTTCTCTGAGACATTTCTGTTACAGCAGTACTTGGTACCCAAGACAGAGTTTGGTTCTTGTGGTGGAGGGGCTGCTGTCACAGAAACCTGCAGTGTAGAAGTGGTTGTTAAAGTGGAAAATGAGTGGATGCTAGAAGAGTTTTAAGGTGTCCAATAGTAAAGAATTGAAGCCTTTAAGTTTTGAGGTTGGAGAAGAGTACTGACTATCCCATGGACTGCCAAAGGTACAAATAACTACTTCTTGGAGAAAGTTCAACAAGGGTGCTCTTTAGAGGCATGGTGATGTAACTACATTTCACATACTTTGGGCATGTTGTTAGGAGGGGCTGCTGCTTGGGAAAAGAAAGAAAAAAAAAACAAACCAAAAAAAACCAAATACACACATTATGCTTGATAATGAAGAGGGCCAGAGAAGGAGAGAAAGCCCATCAACAGGATGGATTGACGAGGCGACTGTAACAATGGGTTTAAGTATATGGGACATGATGAGGTTGGCACAGAACAGGGCAGAGCACACATCTGCTGTTTCTAGGGTCTCTATGGGGCTTGGCTGACACCAGAGAACCTAACAACCAGAACGGTAAAACCCTCCTGTTGTTGGTATTGTTTACTCTAGAACTGGAAACAACTCTGAGTTGACCCTCCAGTGGGTTTTCCGAGGCGGTATACTCACATAGGAGTGTGTGAGATTGTCCATCTTTCTTCTGTGGTGCACCTCGTGGATTTGAACCACTTGCCTTTATGTTGGCAGCACAGCTCCTTACCACCAGGCCAGCAGAGGGACTGTTGATAGAATTGTGGAATTCCAAGACTGTTCTGGTGAGGGCTCACAAGGAAGCAAGGAGGTCAGTAGAGAAAGGCTCGATCATTTTAGAAAATACAGATGGTAGTGAGTAAATTCCAGGCACTGGAGGTTGTCAGTTCGGTTCCACTGGATGGCCTCATTTTCCTAGTTCATCTGAATAGGATTCTGCCCCCCTGACTCTGACAGATTTTGTCCTTCTGCTCTGTGGGCATGCTAGCCCCACCTTCAATCTGAGCATCCCCATCCCTCTGGGAGACCTTAACAGTAGTCGCATGGATGAAATTGTGTTGGCAGACACAGGGAGTCTTTATGACTTTTGAGATGATTTGATAAGATAAATATATTTTACAAGGACATAATATGACAAGGACATGAATTTTGAGGGGTAAAATGTTAGAATGTTAAAATTCAAATGTGTTGCTTCCAAAAGAAAAAAAAAATCTGATATAAATCCTAGCCTTTCTCTGCCTGTGGTTGTATTCCATTTCAGAATAGTTTATCTTCATAGGTTAATGAGACAGGACCAGTGGTGGGTAGCTCTTGAGTCAGTCTTCTTGAGATTTAGATTAAAAGAAGCAAGAGAAGGAAGCAAAGGTGGGGAGAAAAGATGCCAGGCCACATGGAGAGCCCCCAGAAGTGTCAGAGATGAGGACTTTCTTCTGGGACAAACATACAGAGAAAGTCTTTCCTAGATTGGCAACCTGAGTTCTTACAGCGAGGCTCATAAACTGTGAGAAAATGATTTCAAGTTTGTGAAAGCCACCCACTTGATGTGTTTCTTTTCTAATGTTGTTACCGTTGTTGTATACCATCGAGTTGGAATGTACCCATACCTGGCCCTCCCATAGCTGACCCTCTGGTGGGTTTTTAGATGCAGATAATTGATCTGGAGGAGATTGTTGAGCAGTGGCGGATTTGAACCTTGAGCCTTTGGGATTGCAGCACAGCTTCTTACCACTAGGCCATCAGTGTTCCTTTCTATAATAATAACTTAACTCATTGCCACAGAGTTGGAACTGCCTCAGAGATAACCCTCAGGATTCTCAGAGTGTGTCAGTTGCCCAGGAGGAGATTACCTGTCTTCTTTCTTGGAGCAGCTGGTAAATTTGAACTACCTAACTTTGGATTGGCAGCATAACTCCTTCTCCACTAGAGCACCTTTTCTGCTATCATAGCATTAGATGACTAAGATATAATGTGTTGATTTGGTAAAGGCCTTGGTATAGAAATAGATGGTGAGAGAAGGCAGTCAGAGAGGAGGGCTGTGGCAAGAAACTTTAGGTTTACTTGGGCTATTGAAACAGCATTGTTAAGAAATGAGTGATTTTTATTATACTAAAATCTGTGTTCTGAAAACCAAGATTGGACTTAGGTTATCTTGAAGAAGAAAAAACAAATGGATAATAAGAATAGTATGCCTCATTTTGCCTACTAGTGCCAGGGAATAACATGTTTTAGTAATTCTTCGTAAATTCACAGATGGTGATTGTGGTATCTTATATATCTAAGACATGCACAAATTAATGGCGTGAAGTCAGATTAAGGAAAGAATAGGTTTTTTTCCTCTCTGTTTGTGTGTAAATAGGGAGTAACCTGAAAAATCCATAGTTCAAATCCATACTTCGTGTGAGAGAAGGGAGCTAGTCATTAGGATTTACGGCTTGGGAACTTGATGGAAGGTTGCAAGAACTTAGAACCTAGTTAGGACAGTGAGGTTTTGGCTTGTTTGGTTTTGGGTTTTATTTCTATTGCTTTTATTTTTGTGTATGTTGTTGTTGTTATGTGCGGTTGAGTCGCTTGCAACTCATAGTTACTCTATGCACAGGAGCCCTAAATCGTGCTCTATCCTGTGCCAACGTTATTTTCTCTGACACACTCACCCCCATTGCCATAGTGACAGAATCAATCCATCTCATCGAGGGTCTTCCTGTCCTGCCCTGTTCTCCACCCTCCCAAGGATGAGGTCCCTCTCCAAAGACTGGTCCCTCCTAGTAACATATCCAAACTATGTCAGATAATTAAGCTTCAGAATCCTTGCCTCCAAGGAGCAGCTTGTTTTCACCTTCTCCAAGATAAATAAACCTCTTTGTTTTCCTAGCAGTCATGGTATAGTCAACACTCTTCACCAATACCACAGTTCAAAGGCATCAATTCTCTATTATCCCTAGTCATTGTCCATATCTCTGATGCATACCACGCAATTGCAAAGGCTATGGCCTGGATCAGGTGCACCTTAGTCTTCAGACTGACATCTTTGCTCATCAGTACTCTGGAGAGGTCCCTGACAGCTGACGTTCCAGTGCAATTCGTCTCTTGATTTCCTGGCTGCCGGTACTAACAGTATATAGGCTGTGGAGCCAAGCAAACGAAACTGCTAACAATCTCAATCTCTTTACCATCTATCATGATGCTGCCAATTGGCCCAGTGGTGAGAATCTTTGCTTTCCTGATGTTGAACTTCAATCCATATTCAAGGCAGCAATCCTTGACTGTCTGCAGCAAACGCTTCAAAGCCCTCCTCAGTTTCAGCAAGCAGGGTTGTGTCATCCGCATAACGCAGGTTGTTGATGAATCTTCCTCCAATCCTGATGCCACATATTCTCTCTCTCTTGCTTTTGTGAATAGTTGTCATAAAACCTAAACACATTTCCATTTCATAATAATTATTTAGCTTCAGCAAGGACCCATCTAATTTACTGTGCATTTACTTAGAATCT